ATCATAATTCTATTAATAATTCTGATTAACTGATCAAAAGTCGTGATAATTGGATGAAATCATCAGAAGATCGTTTTAATAGTAAACAAATGTCTCGATAAATGATTAAGATTATCAATAGAATGATTAAAGATTAATAAGTATTTTGTTCATTATCATGATTGAAATCTAAATCCTAATCTAATCACTTGATGGGTAAATTAAAACGAATCATTTTGAAAATGATTCGTTTAGATGTTAAATTGTTGATTTTCAATTGACTTTTACTTTGAAATGGTTAATCTTGATCTTGTTTATGATTAAGAAGATAATTTTAAATCTATTGATCATAATTAATTAAAATTCCATTCAGCTCTATTGAGTTTAATTTCAACATGATACATCAATTGATTAATCATTGAATTAGATAATCAACAATTAAAAAGAAATGAGTAAAATGAAATAAATGAAATGTTAATTGTAAACAGTCAAAGTTAATTTATGAAATTAAATCATGTTCCCAATGTTTGATAAACAATTTGTTTTTTCAATTAAGTTCATGTAAATTCATTGAGATCAAGAAAATAATCAATAATAAATCATTAACCTTGTTAATCAAATGAGAGGAAGACAAAACTTTCACAATCAACTAATTATAAACATCATTACTGGTAAATTCATACATTTGTATTACTTACAATCAATGTAACACTTTCAACAATCAACTAGAGATTTAATTTGATAAAATATCAAATCTTAATCTTAACATTTCTGCTAATAAATCATCATCCAGTTAATCAATAAAAATAACAACATTGATAAATCATGTTAATCACTCATTACAATTAACTTTCATAAGTGTATTGCAATTGACGACAATCAGTTGATTAAAATGTATTAATGAAATCAGCTTTACCTTTTTCAGGTTAATTAATATGATTTTTTGCTCGATTGTCTAATTGCCAGATAATTAATTGTAATGAGTGTGAAAATTAATCGAGTCTATGAGATTGAATTTTCTTAGGGACAATTAAGTTTCACTGATTTTTTACATGAAAGCTCAAAAGTTCATTGTTATTAATAATTATGATTCAGCAATTAAAGGTAAATTTGAATATTAATTCAATTGTTGATAAGGATAAAATTTCAATTCATTAGATTATTTGATTAGATGTGGATTATCAACAACGACAATTGATCAATTAATTAACTTGCACTGACTACTATTCAATCAGCATTAATAGCAAAAATAGGGTAATGTGATTAATTAATTGTAAACAATTAGAAATGAGTTAATCAGTTTACTGGAAAACTTTGAGTCAAATCAAATCACTTTTTCTTGATTGTTGATTGCTAATGAAACAATACAAATTGTTACCAAGAATCAGATTAATACTAAATGAAAACAATTATTCAATAACAAATAATAAAATAAATAACTTTTTCCTCTTCAACAATTAACTATCATTGAGTAATTAGATTTAATTGTGATAACCTTGACTTAGATTTTAAATGTTTACATTCAATAATAATTAACCAAAAATATAATATAAGAAAAATAAAACTAAGCCATTCGGATGTTGATCATGATGATTAATTAATTCAATATCAGCAACCAGAAACACCAGTAATTTAATTGCTAAAATTTAAATTGTCGTTTATTTTTATCTCTAAATAAACTAATTGTAAATGATTAACTAATCAGCTAACCTAAAATTTGCATTCGTTTAGTTTGAGAAAAAAAAACTTGTTGACACTTTAAATTGACTTTTTACCAGAATTACAAACTAAATTAAAACAAGTCTAATCTAATTTCTTTTAAAAATAAATTGTCAACTAATCGTAAACTTCAATCAATCAGGAAACATGAATGTAATTTATTCAAAAATAGTTGAATTGGAATCAAAGTTCATCTTATGAAATTTCAATTTTATCTCAATCGGTTCAGTTCATTGGAAAAATGTATTCGATCATCAGAAAATTACCATTGGAAAAAAGAGAGAAAAGTCATCAAGAGTAATTCAGATTGTCGAAAATTACTCATCATCATATGAATTTTATCTTCTTTCTCTTTCTCTCTTTCTTTTATCTTTAATTGTATCTGATATTCCAACCAGAGAGAAGCCTCTTCATCCCGAATGCTCATAACAGTTTACTCATTTCTCTTTGAATCTTCATCAGCCGCTCCCTTTTTTCCTCTTTTCAATCTTCTCTCTTTCTCTCTCTTTCTCTCTCTTCCATCTCACGCCATTTATCTCATTAACTGACTCTCTCTTTCCTCCTTCATTTTTTCTCTTTACTTGCTCTCCCTCATCATCATCATCATCATCATAATCTCTCTCCCTTTACAGTAACACACTCACACAAAAGTGTAGCCAATTTCCAGTTTGGGTTGAGCTTAAATAGCCACAAACATTGACGAACCATAATCAGTTTCAAATTGTCATCCAGGATCTAAATTTGATTCAGTATCATAATTAAAGTGGTGATCACTTCAATTCTTCATCTCTAACCAATTAACAGTTATTTTCTCTTCTTTGTATTAACAATATCAACAAGTGAATCTAAATAAAAATGGCAAACCCAAAGGATATCATCGCAACCATCATCAAATATGCCATCATGATCATCACCATCATCATATTGGTCAAGATCACCGTTGACCTTGTCCAACATGGTAAAAGTTTCCAAACAGAAAAAATTATCTACTTCGTTTGTACCTATGTTGTCTTACTATTTGCTCTGTTTGGTGCTTGGAAAGAGGAATTCCTTTACCTGGTCATCGCTGGTGTCGCACTGATCCTTGACCTCGCCTTCGCCTGGGGCGCAGATGCTGGAGTAGCTGTTAACAACAGTCTAGTTGTCGCATTAACGATTCTCGTCTGTATCATGGCGGCTTTACTCAAGTTTTTCAACGCGAGATCAGTTAACGTTGTTTAATTACCGTTAACCATCAGTTAATCAATCATATTAACCACAAGGATCCTCACCCCCGACCCATCATCATGAAATTCACTCTCCTCGAATCCCACCATCACCATGCCAATCACCTAATCTCACCCAGGCCAAACAAAACCTTTCATCTAATCCACGATTATTATACTTAATTCACAATCAATTGTTTTTTTTTATATTATCCTAAACTTATTACATAATTTGATTATAACTGTTTCAATATTATCCATTATAATCATTACAATTTATGCCTTCATCATATAAAGAAACAAAAAGTTTTTTTGCTGATTCAACTTGTTTTTAATCATTTAATCGTTAATCCCACTCTTAATCCCTTATTCAGAGTTGATCGTGAGAGTTTGTATCATCATCCAATTCCATCCTCTTTGCCTTTATTGGGCCTCATCAGTTTCCAAAAATATTGTTGTTTCTTTTGGCATCTTCTTGATGATAATGATGATATTGTTTCGCCTCTTTCTTTTCTTATCCCCTCTCTTCCAGTTTTCCTTGAAAAACAACAACAAACCGTCGTCATCCTCATCACCACCTTACCTTTTTCCATCTCAATCATCATCATCATCATCATCGTGTTTATCAAGAAACAAAAATCAACAAACTAATGAAATAACAACACGTTTGTCAGTTTCGATTCTTGTTTCCAGGTTAAACAATTTGATATAAAAAATGATTTAATGGGAAAAATAATCAAGTGAAAAGACTTGAAATTATGAATAATGATTATGATCATGTTGTTGTTGATCATGTTGATTGTGATGATGATATCGCACTGATGAGAATCGTTTATGATTCTTTGAATCGGCCTTGGCCAATCATCAGGATAATCAGGCAAAGATAATTGTCATTAAAACAAATTAAGCTCATGTTAGTCACAGTATGATAATTGTTGATGATCTTATATTCAATTGAGAATCAAATAATTACCTCTCTTGTCAGTTTTTTTCGCGTTTTTCTTGTTAATCAACAATTTAGATTTAGACTTTTTTTTCTGTTCAATAATATTGTTACCAACTTTCACAATGATCAGACAAAGTTACCAGGGTTAATCATGATTTAATAGTGTGTAATATAATAGTGATAACAATGGAAACGCCTGCGTTTCCATAGCTTAAATTGTTGTTTACCTTTGTTGTTGATTGTTTGTAGTAATAAAAAGATTTCAAAGTAATTAAAAGTTTCTCTTCTCGTGTGTAATCCGATTGTGTTTCAATTATGCTAAATTGCGAACCAATTGTTTTTTTCTATTAATCAAGGTAAACAATTAATTCAAGTTGATTATTTTCACTACCATTTGTTTCTTTCATAGAAACACGATAATTTGTTTTAATTTAGTTTCTGTTAACTTTTAATTGTCTTAAATGAACAATAGATTTTGAGTTTACTATTCAACTGAAATTTGGCTTCAATTTGTCAACTAGATTTGAATTGAGATTCTTTAGACTTTGGGCTTTCAAACATGGAAAATGGTTTGAGGAAGATTAACTGAAAACCCGAAAATTGGTCAAAATCGATTTCAAAGGGTCGATTTTACGTCCAATGGATCAGAGGTGCTTTTCTGCTCTTGTTTTATAATAGATAAAGGGGTGCTGCGCGAACGCAATCACCCCGCTACCAAAAATATCACTCCCCATCTAACTCGTTTTGAGTTAGTGGCGGGCTTCAGCCACTCTCGGAGTGCAATGAGAGGGCCTCGACCCGGAGTCCCTGCCTTTTTGATCACAGGGTTCTCGGAGCCAGGTAAGTATGCCTGTTAGGGAGAGTCCAAATCTTATATTCCAACAATGGAACTTGAAAAATACAGTCTCCTTTTTAATTCTTTAAATATAAGAATCAATTTAATTGAATGTTCATTTATTATTTTCTCATTTGATTGGAATCAATTTTTAAAATAGTAATTCGTGTTTATTTAATTAAAAATCATCTAATTTATTGGAATTAAAATCAATTATCTAATTCTGATTGAGTTTCTTTTCTTTTGGCTGTTGTTTTCTATTTTCTCAATAGATGTCAGAATTTTTTCTTTGTTATGATTGTTTAGTTTTTGTTGAAAGACTTTTATCATTACGTGTTAATTTTCTAAACCTTTGGTTATTTAATTTCATTTAAATTGTTAATTTTTAATTATTTTCTTAGAAAATGAACAATTTACTGTTTTTTTGTTTACTCACTTTTGCAATTACTGTTGCTCATTCCAGTCAAGATGGAACCAAAGCTAAAGGTCCAAAAGTGACTGATATTGTAAGTCTATTCCTCTTTTTCTAATTAATATAAATTTCTCATTAAATTCACTTAATTAATTCAATTTGTCATTCGCCAATTTCCAATGAGAAATCATCTTTCCATCTGCAAGTTTCATTGGGGTTTCCGATAAAATGGAAATAATTAAATTTTCATTGTAAATGTTTGTTCTCAGCTTAAAACACTATTCCTTGTGTTGTTGAGATCCTATGACAGAACCTCTTCTGCTTGTGATTCATTTGCTTATTTCAAACTTATTCATAGCTAATTGTAACTAATTGTAATCTTAATCAATATCTCTGTCTCTTTTCCTCAGGTATATTTTGATATTCAAATCGGCAATGAACCCATTGGAAGAATTGAAATCGGACTTTTTGGTAAAACTGTTCCTAAAACTGCAAAAAATTTCATTGGATTGGCTACAAGGCACAAAGATCAAGTATGTTGACAAAACTTCAAATTGTCTCATTAATCTAATCAATTGATGAGGAATAAAATTGTGATCTTTGTTTTCACTAATCTTGATAACTAATCTCTTTGTCTCTCATTAGCCAAGCTCTGATGGAAAATTAGTTGGATACAAGGGAAGTACTTTCCACCGAGTTATCCAAGACTTCATGATCCAAGGAGGAGATTTCACCAATGGTGATGGAACCGGTGGAGAGTCAATCTATGGCCGACGATTTGATGATGAAAACTTCAAACTCAAGCACTACGGTGCTGGTTGGCTTTCGATGGCCAATTCTGGTAAAGATACCAATGGTTCTCAGTTTTTCATCACAACCAAGAAAACTTCATGGCTTGATGATCGTCACGTTGTTTTTGGCAAGGTCATCAAAGGAATGGTAAGAAATAGTTGAAGCAAATGATTAACAACATTGTCAACTTATCGTTTAATTGAATCATTTTCAATTTTTCTCTCAGGATGTTGTTCGTAAAATCGAATCGACCAAAACAAGTAGTGGAGATAAGCCAGTTGAATCTGTTGTGATCTCTGACAGTGGTGTCCTTCCCGTTGAGGAACCTTTTTCCGTCACAAAGGATGATGCCACCGAGTAAAATACTCACAATCAACTGATCACAGGAATTGTTTCGTTCATACTTTCATTTCTGTTCAAGTTTCTATCAACTTCTTTCATTCCGGTAAATCTACTACAATTAGCCAATCAACCGAGAAAAATAATGCATCCTATGATTTTTTGATCGTAATTTGGGTAAAATAATAGACATTAATCAATTTTTAACACAAAAGCCAAACAATCAGTTTTCCTTAGAAAGTGATTCAGAAATCCAACTGAAATTCGGGTCACAATCATGATCAAAATAAACGCTCTAACCAAACCAATTTGCACTTGTTCTCAACATTGATTGTAAATTATTTTCGTGCCCTTTTTGATTAATAGCATGTAACTTATACTCACCTTTCTCTCTGTTGGTCCATTTGATGAATCTTGGACAATACTCTTTGTCCTGTAATAATTTTAGTAAAAATTCCCAAAGAAAAGTAGTTGAACCTTCACGAGACTTTCTCTTTGTTGAGCTCGGACATACACCGGCCACTCCTGGAGTTTGACCGGGACCAGTGAGGCTTTCAGGTGAACCTTTAGGCTTTCGTCCTTTCTTTTTCTTCATCAATGCCGATGCATTGTGATAGGAGAGATCTTCAGCTACACCGAGGCCTAATCCAGATGAACCAACAGTAATATCTAGTTAGTGGAGAAAAATTAAAATTTAATTAATTCCAATGATCATTATTAACCCATTCAATTGAAAAGGATCAAGTTATAAAAGATGATTAACTAATTAATAAACTTGTCTAATTATTTTTCCCTTTTTTTGTTATTCGATTATTACTAATTCAAAGTATTGGTAAACTGTTGTAAAGAGAATGAGATGTTGTTATATTATTTCAAATAATTAATTAGTCAATTCTAATTGCTATTTAGATCTAAATTACCAGAAAAGAAATGAATTCATTTGATACATCTTGAAGCCCGTAGTTTAGATTTCAAATAATCTCCCCATTCAGTTGATCAGCGATTTGTGACCCCAAGAATTGGACAGAGATTCATGATGATAGATTATAATTTTATTAATATTTCATTTGATTATATTTATAATTTGATACAAAGAAATTACTCTGATAGAAATCTTAGAAATTGATTAACGATTTCTAATCTTTCCAATACAATATTATGTAAATGAAGTTACAATGTGAACAATAAGATAATATATTTTTTTGTATAATAAGATTAGATTGAGATTATATAATTGTTTGAGGATAAGAATTAAGTAGATGAATTGATACCATTGTGATCAATTTTTTTTCTGTTCTTATTTCAAATAAGAATTGCCAATCATTTTTAGATGAATTGTATTTATAAGCTTTTTTGGTGTCTTTATCACAAAGAATTAGATCATCATTGTGATTCAATAATTCCAAGTTTTCGAAGGATAATTTCTCATCGATAAATTTTAATGTTCGCATCTTTGGGTTAGACACATCGCACTCTTGAAAGTCAAGTGACTCATCCAATTTGTAAATTGAATTGTTGATAATACAAGCGTGTGCCGATCGAGTCTCGGGGTCAGTTGAGAATAGGCTTTGGTCCATAACGGGTGATTGATAGACTAGAAATGTTTGAGATACGCGTTTACCATATTTCGAGGTGTTGTAGATTATGTGTTTACCAATTGCGTTGAATTTACCCTTGTGGTAAAGTATCATTTCAACGGCGTTCAATTCCTCCGATGATAGTGATTGAGTTGTATCGGGTTCAAGGGTTATCCATTTTCTTTCAAATTAACATTTCATTTCGAATCGATAAGATCAATAACAACAAGATTAGATTTAAGAAACATTTTCAATTGTTTTTGGGATACGATACGAATACTTACCCACTGCCAAGGGAAGATGGATCATCCATAATGTACTTGAACATTTGTCCATAGTACGAGTTTTCATCACCGAACATGTTGAGATATTTAAACTTTTTCTCCTTCCAATCTAAACGAATACCTTTGGTCCCAAAACCGTAAACGATATCGGTGATACTGTCATTGGTTATTAGATTGCAACAGAGATCATTTTTCAAAGTGAATTCACCACAATTGATCCAACGATTTGAATTCTTATAAGCTCGAAGTTGAATTACAGTTTCACTTAATTTATATATTGCAACGAGAAACTTGACTATGACTCGATTTTTTATTCCATCATTTGAGTTACTTGACTTTTCAACTTCGCCAATGTTACCATGATTGCTCCTGATCTTTTCCATGTCTTGTTCATTACAATGATTCCAACGGATACATTTCATCAACTGGTCTTTGTAAATTTTTCGTTCATCTTCATTCACTTGGATCCATCGGGTTATCGCATCAAACACTTGACATTCCGAGTCAATTATCAAATCCAGTTTACAAATGTATTCAATGGTTTCAGCTGAAAAGTTGAGAAAGGCTTGAGTATATGAGATTTGGTCGAAATGTCGATTAATGAAATGATTGATTATCTGTTTGTTAATCAGTCCAAATTGATATGGGGCATCAGTCACAGAAGATAAAGATTTAAGGACAGTTGGTAGTTTACAGATATTAAAATTATCAAGAAAATATCGACTACAAAGAACTTGTAGATTGTCCATCATCAGATAATCAGCA